GAATTAATAGCGTCAATAGTAAATAAGCAACAGCAGAAAGTTATAGAGGAACTCAGAGTGGAATTCTTTTTTGAAATAAAAAAAGAATTCTCAGAACTCATAGCATCTGAAGTAAAGAATCAACTACAGAAACATAAGGAGGAAACCTAATCTGAAAAAACACTGCAGTAAAAGAATTTATAACTGCTTCTAGAGAAAGCCATCTGAACTGAGAGAATGTCAACATTTTTATTTCTGGGAGTCATTTCTTTCATTCTAAAGCTCATTTTTAATTACTCATCTCTATAAAAGACTTCCCTTTTCTGAAATAGAACTTCAACTTTCTCTGCTTATTAACAGTGGCTGAGTATTTAAAGCCTACCTCAGGTAAGTTCATTATTTGTTTTATGTATACAACATTTTCCATTCTGGCATTGGTCTGGGCAGGGAGTGAGAAAGTAGTAAACCAGTAACTGGCAGGAAGGATCAAAATTCAGATCGTAATTGCCATTATTTTCTAATTAACTTTATTGGCACACTTTTAATATACATAATGATCACACTCATCATAGGGAATTTTTACCTTTACATAATATTTCTTGATTCTTCTTTTTTCCCCTTCCTCCTTCTTTCCCTTTAACTGAAGTTCCCTCTTTATTTACAAAACCTATGTTTCCATTTCTCCTCTACTCTCTTGGTTTCTTTTTGCCTTTCCTTCCCTTTCCCCTCCCCTCTCTCTTGTTCTCCTTCCTGTTTGAATATTTTCTTTCTTGTCTCCAATAGCTCTCATCCATTTTGGTCTTTACTCACCCTTTCAATTTCTCAAACAAAAGCAATAACGTGTTACTTAAATATGTGTGTCTGACTTATTTCACTGAAAATTATGGTCTCAAGGTACATTCATTTACCTAAAAATGTCTCAGGGCTCTTCTTATTTATGACAGAATAGTAATCCATTGCATATAAAATCACATTTTCTTTATCCGTTAAAGGACAGTTGAGCTATTTCCATGACTTAGGTATTAAAAATTGTATATGCGTGTGTCACTGTGATATGATGCTTTTAATTCTTTCTGGATGATACCAAGAGGGGGAATATCTGGGTCAATGGGACAGAAACCTCCAGTTTTAGTTTTTGGAGGAATCTCCAAATGATTTTCACAGTGGTTGTACTAGCCTGCACTCCCACCAACAGTGGAGAAGGATTTCTTTTTCTCCACAGCCTTGCTAGCATTGATTGATTTTTTGACACTAGCCATTGTTTATGGTATGAGATGAAATTTTATTGTTGTTTTAATTTGCATTTCTCAAATGACCAGTACTATTGAACATGTTTTCATATGTTTACTTACTGTTTGTACCAATTTAATTAAGAAGTGTCTATTCGTTTTACATGCCTATTTTTGCTTGGGTCTTTAAACTGAGGTGGGGTCTGACTTGTTTTGAGTTCTTTATATATTCTAGATATTAGTTCTTTGTCTGAGGAATAGCTGGTAGGAAAAGTTACTTACCATTCCGTGAGTTGTCTCTTCACTCTGTTGGCGATTTCTTTTTAATATGATGAGATCCCAGTTGTTAATTCTTTGTAATATTTCCCATGGGTTTGGGGTTTTGTTCATAAAGTCTTTTTTATACCTGTGTCTTCACAAGTTTTATTTATCATCCAGCAGATTAAATGTTTATATTTTAATATTTGTAATTTTGCTCCATTTCAATTATAGTCTAGTACATGGTGAGAGATATGGTCTCATTTTATTTTTGGCATGCAGAAAGCCATTTTTCCCAGTAATATTTATTACAGAGGCTATCTTTCTTCCAGGGAAGTATTTGGTCCCTTTGTTAAAGATGAGGTAGCTGATTTTCTTATGTAGAACCATCCTTGTATCTCTGGGGTGAATACTACTTGGTCATGATGTATAATCTTCTTGATTCTGTTGGCCAACATCTTCCTGAGGAGTTATGCATCTATGTTCATTAAGGATATTGGATTGTAGTTCTCTTTTTTGGTTGGATCCTTCTCTGCTTTTGTTATTAGGGCAATACTTGCTTCCAGGAATGAATAGGAGAGCATCACTTCCCTTTCGATCTCATTAAAAAGTTTGAGGAGTAATGATATTATATCTTCTCTAAATTTCTTGTAGAATTCATCTGTGAATCCATAAGGTCCTGGATGGATTTCTATCTACTTGACTCAACTTTGGTAATTCACAAGTATCTAGAAATCTGTCCATTTCATCTGCACAGTACACATTATTTTTTATTTTAATTTTTTATTAATTTTAATGAGAAAGAAATAGCAATTTGATAGTTTCAAAATAGGTTAGTAGGACAGTTACAGTAATTAATACATTGCATACATTGCATGATTATGTCTTCATCTAGTACATGTTATTAAAACACGGTTCTGAGCCAGTGGCACCCACCTGTAATCTCATCACTCGGGAGTATTGTTAAGGCTGAGGTAGGGGGATAATTGTGAGTTCAAGGACAGCCTGAACTATATAGTGAGACCTTGTCCCAAAAAGATGAAACAAAAATACAGATTCTCTAAGTAGGTATTGGTGCTTTTCTGGATTTCTGCAGGATTTGTTGTAATTTTACTCTTCTCGGTTTTAATTGTATGGATTTGAGTTCTCTCTTTTTATTGATAAGACTGACTCAGGACTTGTCAATTTTATTTAATCTTTTGAAGAACCAACTCTTCAATTCATCAATTCTTTATACTTTTTTTTAGTTGCATTAATTTCTGCTCCAATTTTTATGTTTTTCTCTCTCATAAGTGCTATGGTTTTAACTTTCTGTTCCTTTTCTGGAAGCTTGAGTTTCAATATTAGGTTTTAATGATCATTATTTGCCATTTCTGCACTCTTAGGTGATTAAGGTAACCTTACCATTGTTAAAAATGCTGCTTGACAATCCAGAGCAGAGGTGCTGGGGCAAGATGGCAGCCGCCAAGAGGAAGCGGTGTGGGGACTTGCAGGTTTGGGCAAAGAAGCCAAAAAGAAATGAGAAAGATGCAGAACCTTAATTCTTCATTCTAAAGCAGATACTAAAATGGATTGTAGAGATAAATTATTTGTGATTAATGAGGTCTGTGAAATGAAAAACTGCAATAAATGCATCTATTTTGAAGTTAAGAAAAAACAAGATCTTTATATGTGGCTTTCAAATTCACCTCATGGACCCTCTGTCAAATTTCTTGTTCAAAATATTCACACCCTAAGTGAATTAAAAATGACTGGAAACTAGTTGAAAGGTTCTCAGCCACTTTTGTATTTTGACCCTGCTTTGATGAATTGTCCATTATGTTTTGCTGAAAGAATTCTTAATTCAGATTTTTAGCATACCACGGTATCATCCCCAAAGCCAGTCATTTGTGGACCATATATTTACTTTCACCATTTTGGATAATAGAATATGGTTTTGGAACTTCCAGATCACCGATGAAGATGCTCAACTTGTAGAAATAGGACCTCATTTTGTCTTAAACCTGATAAAGATTTTTCAGGGAAGTTTTGGAGGGCAAACTGCATGAAAATCCTCACTACCAACCACCAAACATGCATTAGCGGATCATAAGATCCATCACAGCTGCAAAATACAAAGAGAAGCAGCCAGTAAAAGATGTGCAGAAACTGAGAAAGAAAGAGCCAAAGACTGTTCTTCCTCATGATCCTACTGAAGACATTTTTGTTATACCAGCTGAGGAAAAGCCAGTAGAAATCCAGTGGGTAAAACCAGATTAAAAGCAAGGACAAAAAGGATTTACAAAGGACAAAGAAAACTGAAACAGAAGATGGACAGTGGAAGTGCAAAATAAATAAGTGGATAATTGTTTTCCAATCAGTGTATATTTATTCCCTCTTTGGTGTGTAAATACATCTAGTATGTCTAATTAGTGTACCATTTAAAAAAGATACCTTATATCTTTTTCTAAATAAAGCACTGTGTCATCAAACTTCAAAAAAAAAAAAAGATTTGAAATACTTCCTACCTCCAAATAATTACATGGTAGCATAATTCCTACCACAGTTTTAAGGAGAAATCTTGGTAAACTGTTTGTGTCACTAATATGACTATGTAGCAAATGTTCATTCATTCTCTGGAATTCAGGACAACTGGGGAAGGACTGTGACCCTACTGGCATTAGCTCCTTGGTGTTCCCACAGTCACCTAATTCTCAACCCTTCCTTCCACAGAGAACACAGAAGACTCACTGGCAATGCCCCAAGGTAGGAGGGATTTTCATGATGAAGTTCTATTCTTGGTCCTTCATTGGTACAACCTTTTCTTTGGATTTATAAACAAAAGTTTTATCCTAATTGCTGAGCCAAATTTGGTGGGATACTTTGGGCAAATTTTGCATCAGTTTCCTGGTGTGTTGGAAAACTGGTGAGCCGGTGCAGCTAGTAAACCCAATGGGAGCGCATCCAAGACAAATTTAGTATGAGCCAAGGCGGAGCTTTGGGATGAGGAAAAGATAACATGTTTGGCAGCAAAAGATCTGGGTTTAGTTCCATTTCTGCACCTACTTGGTGTGACTATGGGCAAATAACTTGTACCCTTTATAAAGAGGGGAATAAGAAATCCTCACTTCATACTGCTCCCTCTAGGTTAGATGAGATCACTGACAAGGAATGATAGCAACAGTTAATTTCTATTGATGTTTACAGTGTTCCAGGTACTGTCTAAGGACTTGAATTACATAGTTACTAGTTGTTTCTCTAATTTAAGGTCAGACATTTCTTTTTATTTTTGAGACTTACTTTAAGTAGTTATCCAGTTATGCAGTTCAAAAGATCAAACAATAACTTTCACAGAGAGGACATTGGCCAAGCATTGGCCGTGACTCATCCACATGGCTGACACTGACAAAGGTTCTACAATCTGAGGTACAGGATCTCAGGATAAATCTGGAAGGGATTTCACTGACCTTCTCAGACCCAAAAGCTAAAACTCCTGTTGCATAGGTCCTGCTTTACCTTGGTCCAGTAGAAAAGTATGAAGACGAAATATAGGAAGTAAAGCCATGCTGTTATGTTGAGCTGTGGGGGACTCAGGTCAATAATTTCTGACATTGCCAGTTAAACAGAAGACCCATTGCTATTATGGGCTACTGGACTCTTTTAGAATATTTTGCTGAGTTTACACACCTATAATATTCAAATAACGGAACTTAGAAAAAAAGGGGTATACAGATGAATGTCCATTTTGTATCTCTGCATTCAAAGTGGTTAGGATAGATATATAGTTACATTCTCTTAATGAATAGAATGATTTGTTCTAATGGTGTTTGTAAATAGGATCTCAAGTCTGCATCTTGTACAGCAATTAACCACTAAGAAGAATATATGCAGTGTGTTAGTTATTGAAACTGTACTTTCGATTTGATTTGAAACTGTCTCATTGCTGTTTATCAATAAAATTTTGAAAAAAAAAGATCAAGCAACACTACAAGAACTGAATCCTATGAAGAAAAAAACAAACCTAGCCCATCTCTCAACCTTATTCCTTTATATAGAGGCAGCTTCTTTTTATATCTTTTATCACCTTTTTTGGATGTTTACATCCATATGTCCAAATCACGTGCATATATTGTTATTGACTTCAGATTTAGATCTTGTCTACTCAGTTCTTAGTCTGATGAGAATCTAGCCCTTATTTTTCTACTTTTCATATAATTGTAACTATATCACAAGTTCTAATTAAGTTAATTACAATGTTTACATCATTATTCCATATGCATTCGTCACAACATTCATGTAGTACATAGTATTTCTTTTCTTGTATTCTATAGTTCTTCTTTTCCCTTTACTTCATATTTGTCCTATTTTTGCATTTTGCATGTAGAAACTAAACAATGAAAAACTTTTCTTGCATCGTACACATTTTAGGCTTCACAGGCCAAACAATGTCATGACATTTACCAAACTCTTCTGGGATAGGATGCAAGCAGTCATAGATAATAGGAAGCACTGTGTGATAAATCTTTTAGCATTACAGTGTCTTCGAAACAATCATTCAGCAAGTATTTCTGAGACTCAAGTCCACTGGGCTACATTTCATCAGGAATTTACTGTGTCTTACAGTGAATATTTTAGTCCTGTCACACTGAAGATTTGTTGAAAATCAATATGAAGATCAAATAAAATTGCCAATTTCGTTGAATAATCAACATTGCAATTTATTGGTACCGATAAGTGATAAAAATTCAGCACATGCATTATCATGTGTGAAAGAACATTTTTGTGCTCTTTTCCTTGGAATTTTTTTTTAACCCAGAATTAGATGAAAGTATGGCTACGAAATTATTTCACTGGGTGACTCATCATAACCTGGTCCTCACAGTTGAATTGGTATGGAAATGACTTCCAGGGTGTCAGTCCTGCAGACTCCCTGACTTCCTTAAAAAAGGAGATAACAATATCTTCTGAAAAACTTCCAGAAACCATTGTGAATGTACATTTAATAACTATCTTTAACCTTCCAGTTGCCCTGAGAGTGTACAAATACTCAGTTTTTATAAGTGATATGTTCAAATTTTCCTTGGAAGAAGAATCACTTGACCACATTGTCTGAGTTCCCCTTTGTTGTGATAACAAATTGCATTACTTGATAGGTAAAGAACACAACTTTATTGTCTGGTAGTTCTAGAGGTCAGATGTCTAAAAGTGTCTTACTGGGCTAAAGCACCAGGTCAGCCAAGCTATAATCATTCTTGAAGCTCTGGAAAACAAAGGTCCTTTCCTTGCCTTCTCTAATTTTTAGAAGCAACCTATATTCCTTGGCTCTTGGCTCAAGTTCACTATCTTCAAGTCAGCAGCTTAGCACCTTTAATCTCTTCTGCCTCCTCTTTCTACTCTTAAGTACCTTAGGATTGCATTGGAACTGAGACAATCAGTACATTTCAAAAACAGCCAATTAGCAGTCTTATTTCCACCTGTAACCTCAAATTCCCCTTTTCCATGTAACTTAACATATTCACAGGTGTGGGGGATTAAGATACAGACATCCTTGAGAGAGGAGGCAATATTCTGCCTACTGAATTTGTATGCGAAATAAAATTCTTTAGTAAGTATTCTTCAGTGGCTCAGAAATGAACCTATTATTCAGGACACACATTGAAACATAGTGATCTAAGTTACAAGTAGAGAGATCAGTGCATGGTAAGAGCAGTAGCAGGCAGCCAAGTCTCCCATCCAAGTACTAACCAGGCCTGACCATGCTTAGCTTCTGAGATTGGATGAGATCGGGCATGTTGAGAGTGGTATGGCCATAGACAGACACCCAAGTCAGGACAAATGGATAGCATGGCTCACCATCTACTGTAGTTTTCTCTGTCAAGACTCCATACATTTGTGAGCAATTCCCATGATGAGATATGGCATGGAATCAATCTGATGAGTAAGAGAGAATGTGGACCACCTATAAGTAGCACGGCACCTATGAATAATCCAACACTTACAAACAGTGCAACACCCCAAAGCAGAAGTGCCAGCAATAAAACAGGTTCAGCAGAAAGACAATCAGAACGAGTGAATAAAAACACCAGGGATCCTGAAAACCCAAATCATCAGGCTAATTTTCAGAGAGAGCATTTGTGGTGTAATTCTCACCACAAAACACCAAGGACCTGCACTTGGACTTTGAGCTTCACAGAGAAAAGATAGGGAATGCCGGAGCCCAACTGGACTGAGGATCAATGGCTAAGAGGTGGGTTAGCATTTCTGTTGCCTATGCAGTGATTGCTTCAGAGTGGATGTGAAGCTACATCTTGCGAAGTCACAAAGAGTCCCTGGGTGGCTGCACCTTCCTGTAGTTACCACAAGCTGCTGCTTCCTATTAACAGATGCTCCTTTATTGCAGTTCTTCCTGTTGCCATCTCGACCGGACAACCTCTTGTAGCTGCTGCAAGCTCAGCATCATCAGGTAAGACACCTCACCCAGCCATTAGAGTTTAATCCAGCCCCTAAATTGCACAAGGTGCTAGCCAGGGGTTCTGCGGTATCATTTCTACTACTGATAATGTTTCCTTTGAGATCAAATAATTTAATAAGAAACAGACCAAAATGGTCTTGACATCACACTACCGGCTTCCCTTTATATTTGATTAGCTGTAGTTTAACATCAACATGGTAACTCAGGGATTCTCTGAAAAAAAAAAAAAACAGGGCAAATATGAGGTGGAGGAGAAAGAAGAAATACAGTATACAAGAAAGGAAATACAGTCATACTACATGACCGCTGTGACCAATGAATGCACACGGGGTCATAACAGCGTAAACCTGCAGACATACAGAGTGAGAGGAAAAGGTCAGAATACAAGTGTGTGAATGTGTGTTAGAGAAAGAAAAGCTTGTAAAGGTCATTTTATATCTTTTAAATTTAAGAAATAAAGTAAAGCATCTATCTGCTGTCTGGGAAGCAGACAACCCAGAAACTTTTATTTTCCCAAACGAGCCCCATCGAGAAGCCAGACCTCTTCCTGGTCACGTTGAACACACTAGTAGTGTCACTGTTATGGTCGATTTCATTTTTCATATTAGTACATTTTAGATATACGTAACCGCCACATCCATCACAGGGTATTTGTCTCTGTACATGGTACATCTTGAGTCTTCTCTTTCCCCCATTCTCCTATCCTCCAGCCCCCTTCACCTTCCTTATTTACAAAACTTTGTGTCCAATTTTTCCTTCCTTTCTCTTTTTCTTTCGTCCCTTTGATCCTTTTCTTCTTCCCTCACCAGTTGTTCCCCTTCTTATTTGAAGATTTCCTTCCCATTTCCCAATATCCATTATACTTTTTGGCCCATTTGCATTCTGTCATTGTACTTGTTAACACTGTCTCTACCACCCGTAACTGCTCACATGTCAGTTTTACTATCATGTAATCTACAGTCTGACAAGACCAATGCTAATCTCTAATAATCTCTTGTATCTGCATTATTCTTTTGTCTACTGAGTATTTGAAACACAACTAGCGGTAACTGAGATATTTTGTATGTGTCAAATATACTCCGGATATTTCAAAGATTTAGAGAAGCGGAGAGCTGCTGTACAATGGGCAGAAAGTTTCAGTTATACACAATAAATAAATTCTAGGGATCTGCTGTACACATGGTGCCTATAGTTAATAGTATAGCGCCATGTGGCTATTTAGCATAGCATTAAACATTTGTTAAGGTGTTAGAATTCAAAAGTTCTTACCATGCACACAAAAGGAATACAAGGACTCTTGCTGGAGGTAAGAGTCTTATCCTCTTAATTGTGGCAATATTATTACAGATGTATGTCTATGTTCAAGCTCATCAATTGCATATGTTAACCATATACAATTTTTTGTATAGCAATCATACCTAAAGTTGTTTTATAAAAAAGGCATAGGACTATATAAGAAGCATGTAAAATTGTTCATTGACATCTTATTCTGATTACATATTGAAATTATAATATTTGAGATACATGTTAAATAACATATATTATTAAAATTACTTTCACATGTTTCTTTTCCCCTTTTAAGATGTGCCTACCAAGGGCCTGTGAGGTAGCTCAGTGGCTTAAGCACCTTCCTGGCAAGTGCCAGGTCCTGAGTTTGATCCCCAGTACCAGAAAAAAAAAATAAGGTGTGCCTATCAGAAAGTTTATAATTACATGTGCAATGGATCCAATTTAATCTAATTTAATTTCTATTAAACAGCATTGCCTTATGTCTTTTAATCACTATGGTGAATGCTTTATGCAATTTTTAAAAACTGATCTTCCCAATAGCTGGATGAGGGATGTCTATAATCTTTTCCTGATGTAGACACTCATGATCAAATAGGTTAATCCTGTCTCAGAGCTCATGGAATGATGACACAGATAATCTGACTTCAGAGATCTAAAGATTAATCTCTAGACTATTCTAAAACTGTTGTCTAAACCACATGAAAATTCTATTAACTGTTGACTGCCCATGTTGCGTATTCAAAAACCCAAAGGACCCCTTTGAGATGAGGGAAGCTAAGGGTAGGAGATAGTCTCTGAGCCAAGCCTGTATTTAATCTTCTAACCCTTACACTTAACTGGCCCAAATTCATATGCCCGTAGCCTAGATGGTGGCAGCAGCGCTTTATCACCACCACCTCTAGCTTTGTTCATGTCTCAGCCCACTCTTAAAAATTCTTAGGCCTCTTACAGAGCTGTGCTGACATATATGTGCAATCCCAGCACTCGGGAGACTGAGGCAGAAGCTCAAGGCTAGCATGGGCCAAACAGGGAGACCCTGCTTCAAAATAAAAATTTAGAACACCTTGGCTCTTGTGACTGCATAAGTGTATTCTTGAAGACTTGGTAGGATTTCCAATTAGCTGCAGTGCAATTCTCAGCGAGGACTCAGAGATGCTGAATTTGAGCTTACCCTCTACCACTGCCGCTCCGTGGAGCCTCACCCTGTCTCTTCATCAGTTGGGACCTGAGCGATCTCAGCTATAAAAAGGAACAGTCACTTATTTCAAAGGGTTGTGATGAGGATTAAGTCCGTGAATCCCTTCAAGCATTTAACAAAGAGCCTGGCGTGCAGTCAGCGCCCAGGGAATGTGACCTTCCATGCATCACGCGGTTCTGCAGATGCCACTGCTTGAGACAGCAAGGCTTCTTCCCTGGAGCTGCCAAGCTGGGGGAAGGACCGTGGTGCTTCTGCTGTCTGCCGCTGGCCGTGGCCATCCTGTCTATCTGGATATCACCCGCTTGCTCTCTGTCCCTATGTATTTACCTATTCTGGACATTTCATATGTGGAACCGTACAGTACAAAATGGTGTTTTCTTGCCTGGCATAGTGCTTTCAAGGCTGCCCATTCCTTTTAAAATTCTTTGTCTGGAAGACCCTTGTGCAAAGGTAATTGAGTTCTTGTCCAGACTACATGGAACAGGTAAAGAAGTCCTTCTCTTTCTATTGGTTATTAAATTTCAGGAGTCATTTTCCTTGCCTTGTTTTTTTAAAAGCTCCATCAGCTTCAGCTATCCTGGATGTTCACCACCAAACCATGCCACCAGGTAAGTCAGTAAACTATGAGCTAAAACAACAAAAGCTAGGTGGGATGTATCATGGCTGCTACATCTGGCACTTTGAGTCCATAGAAAGAATGATTCGTGCTCAGGAATGGGGCAAATTCAATACCAAGAGATGTGGGGCAAATTCAATACATGGGGTGCCTAATACCACCTGCAGCACAAGAATGAGGAGGGAGTTCATCCATCTCGCTCATGACTATATTCTTAGCGCCCATCACGGTACTTGGCACACTATAGGCACTGAATGCATATTTGTTTAATGAATGAAAGAATGTAAAGGCAGTACGAGTGTGGACAGGGCATTTGCTCCTTATTGAGTCAGCTTTGGTCTTGCCTAAGAATAGTCCCGCTAGGCAATAAATCATGGAGGCGAATTTCTCCACTCAAGAGATATAGGCATTACTCTGAAAAACTGGCAGCCATCCCTAGGTACAATCATCCTCTTCTCAGGGAAGTGTTAGCATATCAGATGGGCACAAACTAACAAAGCCAGATGCTTCTAATAAATATTCTTTATGTCTCCATTACAGTAGATAATGAGAAGTTATCAACCATCTTGTCAGGTAAGAGCCGTGATCCCTATTATTAGTCCTGTAGATAGACACCTTACCACCCATCTTGGCATGCGAGTAGGTGGGCCTCCAGGCTACATACTGTCCTTATGTCTATCATGATTTTTATGACTTTTGCCCAATTTTGCAGTCACTCATTTTATTACTGCTGAGTACACTCATGCAGAATCTGGAGGTAATGTGAAGTTAGGGAGGACTCAGCGGGGTCACACTAGGAGCCTTCTGCTGGGCACCTCATCTGGACTCCAAGCTCCTCTGAGAGCTGGCAGTGCATCATAAACATGGGACTAGTCCAGATGTCTGGGTGGAGATATGGACCAGCTGGTGGAGCTTTGAGAGCTGTCAGCTGAGTCCTTTTCTAGTGTGTGCTGTGTCTGTCCCAGGAAGCGGACTTTGATTCCTAACTCCCACTTCAATGTTGTTCCAGTTCTTCCTGTGGCTGACTCCATAGCTGTCAACCGCAGAGCCAGTGTGCCTGGGCTCAGCCCACCAGGTGAGGAGCCTTCCCCAGGGACCACTGCTGCTCTCATCAACTGCAGAAGAGGGATCACTGTACCAGGAAAGAAGCCTAGGGAGTGGCAGAGGTGGGGCTGCTGAGGGGCAAGGGAAAGCTCCATAGTAACAGAAAATGGCCCTGGCCTAAAGAACTGGGCGGGGAGTTGTCCTTCCAGGTGACTTCAGCTCCTGGTCCTTTACTTTCTTGCTATTCCAGGGAGAACATGGTAAAGTTCAGAAAATACAAAGAATAAGAAAGTAAATAATCACACCCCCCACCTGGACACGACACTATTTACATTTCATTATACTGGTTTCCTGTTCTCATCAAGAAGTGAAATAGTTACCCATGAAACTCCCAAGACTGGAGATATTGCTCAGTGTTAGAGTACTTGCCTATTGCATGGGCAGCCTTGGGTTCAATCACCATTACTGCAGGCAGATAGATGGATGGATAGATAGAAAGATAGATAGATAGAAATACAGAAAGATGGGGAGCCCTGTACAGCAGTTTGTAGATCTTTTGTCAGTGCCAGCCATCTGGATGAGTCATAGGCATTGCTTGATCAATTTGCTCTCTGTGAAAGCCTGAGAGAGTGTCTTCTCCTCATGTGACTCTCCTTAGGCACACTCCCCGACATCGTTGATCACTTTCCTCTGTGGCCCCATAATCTCCTTGATCAGAAAATGTGGGACACAACTGAGTTACAGGATGTTACAGTACAGGTTCTCTTATGTCCTGAGTCCTCACTGACCTTGAAAGGCTAGGGCCAAAATGTTGACTATTCTTTTAGCCCTTCTTTTTCTCTAATTTTTTGGTCTACAAACTTAAGATGTTAACCCTCCAGAAGAGAAGCTTAATGATATTATTACCCTATAACATAGGCAGTTGAGCTTAACATCAGTATCTGTCTGAATATCAAACAACTTAGACATAACATGGAACAGGTATTTTCCATCAGTCATTGATATGCTAAACTTTAAATCCCTATAGAATGTGGAAAAAAAAAGAAATAAACAATTACATATTGTTACACAGAAATTTAGAAATCTAACCATATACAACATTCCAGTAGGACAGTCCTATTATATTTTTTTCTCATCTCTTGTTTTATTACCTTTTTTTTTAAACAAACATTTGCTTGAGAGAGTATAGCAGTAATAATTATGACATTAGAAGCAGTACACATTTAGAAGACCAGAAAAAAAAATGTATCTGTACATACAAAATAGTTAGAATGGATATACAGCCACTTTCTCTTAATTCACTGAGAAGAAAGATTTGTACTCATAGTGTTTGGACAGGATATCATGTCTGCATCTTGTACTATGAATAACCACTATGAAGACAACAATATGCAATGTATTACCTATTGTAACTGTCCTACTAACCTGTTTTGAAACTGTCTCATTTTTTTCTTTCTAAATAAAATTAATTTAAAAGATTTTTTTTTAAAAGAAAGATGGGAAGCCCCCAGTAGCCCACCAATCCAGTCTCTCTTTTCTCCTTCCTCCTTAACATTATCATGGGGCTGGGGAGATGGCTCAGTAGAATAAGTGCTTGCCTGGCAAGCCCAAGGGCCTGAGTTCAATCCCCGGTTCCGCCAAAAGAAAAAACAAGGAAAAAAGAAAGATTAGGGTTCATTTTTACATTTTTACACACCTTGAATTATATGATTTTTGTGTGTTCTTTTTTCATACAAATTATGCTACTCTAGACATTATGCAATACAGTTTCTCTTTATTCAATATCATGTTTTGAGATCAATCCATTTTGATGTACATGTGTATTTGTATGTGTCTGTTTCATTGTTGTTAAGGGGTATAGATTATTCTGGTTTTGGAAAACACTGCTAAATTCAATCTGCTTCACCATGGAAAGGAAAACTTTCCTAAATGTCCATGTCTCTCATGCTGCTGCCAAGGACCAAAGCATGAAAAATAATATATTCTAATACCTGGTGTGTTTTGTTCAGTGACTTGCAATGAGTCCATCACATCGTGGTATAATTAGCATGTCCACTTTTTCCTACGGTGTTTTAATTTTATTTTTACTTAGGACAAGGTGTACAGGGTGTATAGGGCCTCACTGCATAGATCGGACTCTTAGTGATCCTCCTCTTTACAGCCTCCCAAGTGCTGGGATTACAGGCGCATGTCACCATGCCCAGTCTCAATTGCCGTCTCAGCGCATCCCGGGGGCAGGTCTAGGGATCCAACTCCCAGCCTCTGCGTCTGCCTAAGAAGGTGCTTTAATCTGCTGAGCTATTTGGCCAGCCCTCCTACAGTGCCTTTACATCTGGAGTAACTTAATGACTCATTTTTTTTTTTTTATGAACTTAAGACAGGGTCTACAAGGTGCACAGTGTCTCACTACACAGATCAGACTTGTAGTGATTCTCCTGTTTTCAGCCTCCCAAGTGCTGGGATTATAGGCACATGCCACCACTTCCAGTCTCAGTCGCTGTCTCAGCGCACCCTGGGGGAGGGGCTGGCACCGCACACTAGGGATCAAACCCTGGCTGCTGTGCTCTGCCCAAGGAGGTGCTTTAACCCACTGAGTTATCTGGCCGGCCTTCATCTTAATTTTTAAGCCAAGTATAATGGTTTCAGTCCATTCTCAGCTCCAAGGGAGAGGGGTACGTGGCAGAAAGCAGCATTTCATGGTGGAAGCAAAGAAGAGCAAAAAGGAGGAGTAGCAGCAACCATGGCAATGGAGAGCAAGTCTGTCTCTCTGTCTCTCTTATATTACATTCAGGCTATCCACCAGAGCGTGAGTGTAGCACTCCAAACCATAATCCCAGCAGTACTCACACCCACAATCCCAGCCTTGGATCATGAATCAATCACAAACTGTAGAATCGCACCTCAATGACTGCATGAGGCCTTTTTGGGGGATAAATACACACAAACTAACAGTGTTCAAATGGAGTTTGCAAAATGATTGGATCATGAGGGCGCCAGCATCAAGGATGGATTAGAGTGTTGCTGACTGGGCTGTTGGGAGGCAGGGCCTAGTGAGGAAGTGGGCTCCTGGGGGCAGAACCCGAGGAGTGTACCTTGTCCCTGGCTCTTCTCTGTCTCTGCATTCTGGTGGCATGGGTAAACAGCTTTCCTCTCTGGCACCCTTCTGCCTCCATATTTATACCTTACCACAGGACAGAATGCAATGGAATCAGCGGACCATGGACTGACACCATGGACAAAGATAACCCTTTCTTCCTTTAAGTTGTTTTTCTCAGGCGTTTTGTCACAGCACTGAAAATCTGACTAGCATATCAGGCAACTAAGGTGACTCTGACACTTACTCTTGTTTTTGTCTCTACAGAGGCCTGGCCGAGGCTGAGGCTGGTGAATGGCACAGGAAGGTGCTCTGGACGGGTGGAGGTTTCCTACCAGGGGACCTGGGGGTCCGTGTGTGATGAAGGCTGGGGCCTTCCAGAGGCACAGGTCGTGTGCAGGCAGCTTGGGTGTGGCCCAGCTCTGTCGGCCCCACTGGGCGCCCACTTTGGCCCTGGCTTTGGAAAGATCCTTTTAGACAATGTGCACTGCACTGGCACAGAGAGCAGCCTGTCCCTGTGCACCCACGACAGCTGGTTCACCCACAACTGCAGCCATGAGGAGGACGCTGGAGTCATCTGCTTGGGTGAGGCTCCTTTCACAGCTGAAGTGAATTATGGGCAGAGCAACTTAGCTCCTCCTTTGGGAGGGCTGGCATCTTCTGTCTCTGCACTAACGGGTTCTCTCGGAAGCCTCACCCCTCCAAGGAAGACTGATTTCTATGTCTCATTCTACTTTGACTTCTGCTTAGCTACCGTTTAATGTACAGAGAGGAAATAGGATGCAAATAAACCTGTCAAGCCTTAAGTAATTCACAGGGGCTAGGTTGAATGGTCTATTGTTCCTTGAAGATTAGAAGGTGTTACCAGCTGATACCAAACCTCTGTAACAGAAGGTCTCAGCTTGCAGCTCAAGCGGCTGTGTCACTCTGTGGTACCGGGAACCCCGGAGTTCTGGTCTGCATGGCCCTCTTCTGGGCAGTTGACTGTGGTTAGGTCCTGATATCCTCAAGAACAAGTCTTTGTGGAGAGTTCCAGGCTGAAAAGACACATCAGTTTCAAGGAAGTTCAGAATTCACTCACAGTACCCAACACCCCACCTGCAGGATCTATCTAAATGAGAATCTAGTCACCAGGCAGCTGCAGGCATGACAAGGACTGTTCTTTGGTTACTGAAGACCACACTTAGTAGCTCTTGAGTTCAGATATACTCTACTACAGCTATGCTTATCAGTCCTCACAAAGTATGAGAGAAAACTGAAACACTGAAAACTTCATACATATATGATTTCAGAGTGCTCCTGCCACTCAGAAATACCACGGGGCCATTCAGTTTATTTCCTTTTTCATCCTAAAGTAGTGTTGTTCAGACTTAACTGTGCATTAGAATACCCTTGCAACTGATTAAAACTCAGATTTCTGGACCCTACTCTTGGAGATTTCTACGTAATAGCTCTGGGGTGGAGTATGAGCATTTGCGCTTCTGACAGGTTTAGGGTGCTCATGCATGGCTGGTCTGGGAACCTCACTTTGAGAATCACTGTCTTAACACATAATTTAATTAACTCCTATTCCAATAAATAGAAGCGAAAGTGCCATCATCTCCTTCATCACCTTCATTACCATCTCCATCAGCATCGCCACCACCTTCATCTTCACCACTGTCACAGACACCACCGCCACCATCACTGTCGTCATCTGTCTCATCCTTTTCGGCATCGTCACTACCTGTACCATCACCACCAGAAGCTGGTTTCCCTAGTAAGTCAAGCTTTTTTTTTCCCATAATTTTATTGATAAACAAATAGCAATGAGACAGTTTCAAATCAAATTGGTAGGACAGTTTCAATAATTAACACATTGCATACATTCTTCCTAGTGGTTAATTGCTGTACAAGATGCGGACATGATATCCTATCTAAATGTCACTATATATTTTTGTTGTTGTTTCTCTTTTTTGGGGAACCGGGGATTGAACTCAGGCCCTTGCGCTTGCCATGGAAGCACTTATTCCACTGAGCCATCTCCCCAGCCCATAAGTCAAGCTTTGTATCTGTGTTATTTCCCTATTTATTTTAGTTGATACATATATTTTTAATTTTCTATTTTTTATTCATTTTAATGAGAAAAAAGATAAAATAGCTATGAAACAGTTTCAAAACAGGTTAGTAGGACAGTTACAGTAATTAATACATTGCGTATTGTTGCCTTCATAGTAGTTATTCAGAAGACAAGATGTAGACATATCTTATCTAAACAATATTAGTACAAACCTTTCTTCTTGCTGAACTAAGAGAAAGTAGCTGTACATTTATCCTACCTTGTGTACACATATATATTTTTTTCTTTCTTTTTCCACAACAAAACGGTCCTTTATTTATACTTTTGCAAAGTTAGTAACATGTGACACAAGGTTGCCTAGCAACTAATAGCTGACTTTAACCAGACAAGATGTTTATCTCATGACTGAGGTAGCTTGTATAACCACGAGGTATAAAAAGTAAAGCTATATTAATATGTTGAACTGTAAAAGGCTCAAACCAACTTCTGACAATTGACGTTGTGCTGCCAGTTGTGCTGATAACTCACTACTATCATGGACTATTGGACTATATTAGGTTATTTTGCTGAATTCAAGTACCTACAATCTTTGGGCTGGCATCAAGTATGAAAAGGTCCTTTAAAGACTTCTCCAAACACAGCTTCTCTAACTGCAGCGGAACACCCATCTCTGATAAGACAAAGCAAAAAACGGGGATATGTTGGGAGTCACAGAAGCTAGGAAATTGATCAAATATGTGTAGGCAGGACTAGGCCTCAGTGCCTAAAGCAAACTAGTTGATACATTTTTCTGCTTGAGCATTTTCAGAGCTTAACATCCAAACTAGAATACTTAAGCAAATCATTAAAAATCATAAAACCCCCTGTGCATCTAGTACTATGTAAAGAGGTCTTTGTGCATGAATTTATTTCCCAGTCATAGAAAGGAGACCAGGGCTGTAGTCATGGTCTCCTCCTTATTAGGTATCCATGTCCTCATCTAAGCCTTCGCCATCCCTTCCTTCCTAGATGACCGCAGACCTTTTGTCTGGCGTCTGTGCCTGTGTGTTCTCAACATCTTGAGCTACCTTTCATTAAAAATTGGGATTATTGAGGCATAATTTGCATACAGTAGAAATTACCATGGATTTTAAAGAATTGCAAGCACTGCAGCTATGTAGCCACCGTCGCCATCACGATATAGACCACTGCCATGACCTCTTAGGGTTTCCTTGTCCCCCTTTGTATTTCGCCTTCTCTCCTGACGCCCTCATCCCTACAAGCAGTGCTAGGAGCTCTACCTCTGTAGGGTTCGCCTTTTCCAGAGTATCATCTAAAGCAATCAAGCCATACAGAGCACTTTTATTGGAATTCTTTACTAACCATAATGTTTACAAGAATCATCCCTGTAATTCTTTTATTTTTCAGTTGTATTTTGCTGCCTGGATATACCAGAATTTGCTTATCTTTTCACTAATTGGTGGATATGAATTTGTTTCTAATCTTTTGTTTTTTTGAAACAGTGTCTCACTATGCAGTTCAGGCTGGCCTTGCACTCACTAGGCAGTTCAGGCAGGTCTCAAATTCATAGTGATCTTCCTGCCTCAGCCTCCCAAGTGTTGGGTTTACAGGAACACCCCAACATGCCCAGCTACTGTTTTAGTTTTACTACTATGGATAAAACTACTATAAATATCCATGTACAAGTTGCAAGCTATTTTTTACAAATAGCTGTGCCATTTTGCATTCCCTCCAGCAACATGTAAGAGTTATAATAGTTCACATCCTTGTCAACACTTTAGGTTGTCTATTTTTAAAGTTTGGCCATTGTGGTATCTCTACTATAGAGTTAGTGCTGATTTTCTGAGTTTTTTTTTTTTAATTTATTTAGGACAGGGTGTACAGGGTCTCACTACATAGATTAGACTTCTAATGATTCTCCTGTTTTCAGCCTCCCATGCACTGGGATTATAGGCACGTGCCACCACGCCCAGTCTCAATCACCATCAAAGTGCCTAGGGGTGGGGCCGGTATGCCACACCAGGGATCAAACCCCAGTCACTGCGCTCTGCCTAAGCAGGCACTTTAGTCCACTGAGCTATCTGGCTGGGCCTTGAGTTATTTTTTATTCATATACATTAACTATAGAACAATGACTTTCATTTTGGCATATTAGTACATGCATATAACATACTTTGTGGTATTACATTACATTTATCTAAAGAATAGTGAAGTTGAGCATTTTTATTCACTTATTTGCATCTATTCGGTCAAATACATAAATTCAAACTTTTATTTTTTAAAAAAACTGACTTTTTCCTGTTATTGATGAATTACAGGACATTTAACATATTATAGATGCAAGTACTTTTTCAGATACATGTTTCCAAATATTTTTCCCAGTCTGTGAATTGTCTTTTCATTTTATTAACAACATTCTTAAAAGAGCAAATTTAAACTATTAAAGGAAGTCCAGTTTTCTGACATTTTAACCTGAGACCTATTTACTTAGCTAAAGGCCTCTCAGGTTGTTGCCGCCTGCTTTCTTCTGTGTTTCATTTATTCATATGATCTATTTTAATTGATTTTTGTGTTTGGCCTACAGATAATTCAGAGGTCTATTCTCATACACATCTAATTCCATCACCATTTCTAAGCTTATTATGCTATCTCTATGGAAATGGTTGAAACTTTTGCCAAAAATTAAATAACCACATATACACAGATGTACTTCTGACTTCCTCCTTTCTGTTCCATTGATTTGTGGCCTACCCTCAGGTCAGTGTCAATTACTGTCACTTCAGAGGAGGGTTGAAGTCAGAAGGTGTGACTCTTCCACTTTTGTTCATATTTTTAAAATTCATTTTGCTTATATATTTTAGATAGACATAATGATTACATTCAGCATAGTGAATTTGTACCTGTACATGCTATAACTCGATTCTTCTTTTTTCCCAATCCACTCCTCTTGCTTCTCCCCCTTCTTCCCTCCTTATTTATGAAAACTTTGTATCCATTTTTTTATATTCTCTTCTTTCTTTCCCCTTCCTTCTTTTCCCCTCCTCTGTCCCTTATTCCCCTTCCCAGTTGAACATTTTCTTCTCCCTTCCCAATATCTATTACACATTTTATTTATTTATTTATTATTATTGTTATTATTTATTTATTTTTGTTGAACCAGGAATTGAGCTCAGGCCCTCACGCTTGCCAGGCAAGTGCTTATTCCACTGAGCCATCTCCTCAGCCCCTTCTATTACACACTTTAGTCCTTATTTACACCTTCAGTCGCTCATACCACAGTAGCCTACATTTCTTTCTCTTGACTTAAATTTTATTTTTTTAGCTCTACTGAAATATGACTGAGAAATAAAGATTGCATATATTAAAAGTGTGTAATATATTGTTTTGATAAAAACAACCTTTTTTAATGACCCTCACCAAAGAATCAAATCAGCTTATAAAGCTCTACAAAAATACCTGATGAGATTTTTAATTTGAATTGTATTGAGTATTTATACATTCAAGAACAATTGACATTAGAGCATTATTAAGTTCTTTAACCCATCAGTACTATGTATCTCTCCACTTAAGGTTTATGTCATCAAGATCCTGTGGTTTTCTATGTGCGGACTTTCCACATATTTATTGGACTTATGCATAAGAATTTTATGGGTTTTGATGCTATTATAAAAGAAACTTAAATTTAAAAAATTCAATATCTCCTTTTTGATGCTGGCAAAAATGAAATTTATACACACCTGTAATCCCAGCACTTTGGTGCCTGCCGCAGGAGAATCACTGTCAGTTCAAGGCAGGGTGGGCTACACAGGAAGTTCAAGACCACCCTTAACTAACTATGCAGTAAGACTGTCTGAAAACATAAAAATGAAGTTAATATGCAATAAGTGATGAAATGAGAATTAGATCTCAGGTTAAAACAATCATATCTTTAGTCTGGAAACTCACTAAGCCCTTTTGTAGTGGTTTCTTGTGTTGCATTTTCATAAAGAGATGCTAGCAATTGGCTTAGAGTGCCAGGTAACTTTCCCTTTACTTGGCTTTCATTTATCTCCTCCAAGTGCTACTTTTTTCATCATAGCTGCTGAACTAATAAAAGGACCCAAGGGCCAGCCAAATAGCTCAGTGGATTAAAGCACCTGCAAGCAGGCACAGGGGCTGGGGGTTCAATCCCCAGGCCTACCATGCCAGCCCTGCCCCTGGGACGCGCTGAGACAGCAATTGAGACTGGGCATTGTGGCACATGCCTGTAGTCCCAGCTCTTGGGAGGCTGTAAACAGGCAGATCACTAGAGTCTGATCTAGTAGTGAGACCCTGAATGCCTTGTAGACCTTTCCCTAAAAATACAAAAAAAAGGGACCCATTACTTCTGTGGAACAGCCAACACCAACAGGTACAGAAAAGGGCATCTTTTTTTCAGTGTACATCAAAACTTTATATCTTATATATTTATTGAAGTTTAGAGAATATATCAGTTTCCTAGAAATATGAACAAAATTAGAATTTAATAACAAATATTGCTCTATACCCCCAGACCCTGCCAGGGTTCTTGAGATAGTGAAATAAGGATGTTTATGAAAGTACGATTCCAGAATACTAGTTCCATAGGACACTTAGATCAGTTATGCATGTGTACGTAGACACACACACACACACACACACACACACGGATTCTGTGGTCTTTAATGCATTTAATACAAATGTATTAAACATAGTAGACAATTCTCTTTACTATAGATATCTAAGAGCTTATGCAAACACCTAACACTTAAAAATATGCATTAGAAATCTCAGGGGCCACACCTTTGAGCCACACATTTGAGCTAAATGCCACACATTTGAGCCAAACTCCCTTTTTCTTATGTTCCATCTCTCTGGAGGTCTTCTGCATAATAGAAATAAGGAAAGTGCAAAAATCCAGCTATTTTGGATGAATGCATCCTAGCTACCAAGGTGTTACAAAGTAAAATACATACTTCCTCATTTCCTGAGTGTCTGAAGTCAGAGTTGCTCTCCCGTGATTCCATGTCTGCCTGATAGGAGCTCTTCTTTTGATTTCTACCTGTTGAAGTCCTGCCTTGGCTTCAGGCACTGTTCTCCAGACAGTTCTTCCCCTTGGAAGAAGGTGTATTCTCTGTACTTTTACCCTTCTGGCTAACATCTCTAAAAATCTACCTCATATAACAATGACTTAATGTGTCGTAGCTTCTGCCTAATTATGAGTTTTATTTCCTCCTTTAGAGTCAACAAATATTTTTGAGTGAATGATGGCACACAGAATTACTAGTTTATAGAAATTGTTCATATTCCCTTAGTTTTCCTTGTATGATGTCTCTAAGTTTGTCTTTTATTTTTTAACAAGATTATTTCTACGGAACAAAGCGTTCGGTATAAGTTAACCATGACCATAATGAATGAATAAAAAGTTCAACCATCTTGTTTAATGGTAACAATGGTAGCTAATTTAAGTAAATCAAAAGAGAATAGAATATCTCAGAACGGTATTGGGTGTTTGGGATGGGTCTTTTGTGTAGTGCGTTCACTTAATGACTGTCACCCTACTCGTTGATTGTGACCCATGTTTGCTGTTCATTATAGCTGACCTTTCCACAGAGCCATCACTGACTGCAGCCCCTGAGGCCTTCGTTGCTCCATCTGCAGGTATGGGAAGTTGGTCTTTAGGTATCAAGGGTTGACGGACAGCAATGAAAGGGATATTTTCCAAGCAAGGGGAACCAAAGTAGAAAATAATCCATTTGCATGCTGTGAGATTTAGGGCAATTTTGTTAACCCTGTGTAGTCTCAGTTTCTTTATCTTTAAAATGGGAGCCCAACCCTGCTACAAAGATTAAGGAAGACATATGTAAGTTAGCAGCTCTCAATGTCTCTGGAATTTAACTATTAAACACAAAATGTTCCTATCTTTAGCCTCCTGCACATAGTAAAGCCACAAGAAAAGAATTGCATGAGTCCAAAAGGACCAAGTTGCTCTAAGACATACCTGGATAAAGAGTTGTCTATGTAGCAGTGTTTGGTCTGGGCACAGTCTAGCCTGCTGTCTTGTTGGAAATGTTGAGAATTGAATTGTATGGATAGAATGTTCTCATTAAGAGAAGCTTAGGAGTTCAGAAGAGTTCTTATGAAAGGTTTTTTCATTTCAACCATAGGTTTTAGCAACGTCCATTTGCATTTGAAATTGCAAATCACTCTTCTTATTTTTAACATGTGGGTGCCTGAGGACCGTGTGATCTTGCATGTTTGTAAAATGAGAACTAGACAATGCTCAATTAGGAATTTAGAAGAGGGCCAGGGATGTAGCTCAGCCACACAGAACCTGCCTAGCAAGCCTGAGAGGTCCAGAGTTTGATTCCTAGTACAAAAAAAGAAAATAGAAAAAAAAGAAAGAAAAAGAAAGAAAGAAAGAAAGAAAGAAAGAAAGAAAGAAAGAAAGAAAGAAAGAAAGAAAGAAAGAGCCCCTTTGGGGGATGGCCTGATAGCTCAGCAGACTAAAGCGCCTGCTTAGGCAGAGAGCAGGGACTGGGCTTTGATCACTGGCATGCTATACTGGCCCTGCCCCCAGGATGGGCTGAGACGCTAATTGAGACTGGGAGGGCGTGGTGGCATGTGTGTGCCTATAATCCCAGAGTCTGAGTGGCTGAAAACAGGAGAATCAGAGGTACAGGATCTCAGGATAAATCCTGAGGGCATTTCACTGACCTTCTCAAACCAAAAAGCTACAACTCTTGTTGCATAGGTTCTGCTTTACCTTGGTCTTAACCATCCAGTAGAAAAGTATGAAGATGAAATATAGGAAGTAAAGCCATGTTGTTATGTTGAGCTGTGGGGGGCTCAGGTCAATAATTTCTGACATTGCCAGTTAAACAGAAGACTCAATGCTATTATGGGCTTCTGTACTCTTTTAGAATATTTTGCTGAGTTTACACACCTATAATATTCAACAACGGAACTTAAAAAAAAATTGGGGTATAACTATGAATGTCCATTTTGTATCTGTGTATTCAAAGTGGTTGGGATAGATATATAGTTGCATTCTCTTAATGAATAGAATGATTTTTTCTAATGGTGTTTGTAAGTAGGATCACAAGTCTGCATCTTGTACAGCAATTAACCACTAAGAAGAATATATGCAGTGTATTATTTGTTGAAACTGTACTTTCGATTTGATTTGAAACTGTCTCATTGCTATATGTTTATCAATAAAACTTTGAAAAGAAAAAACAAAAAAAAAAAAACCAGGAGAATCATTATGAGTCTGATCTACATAGTAAGACCCTGTGGACCCTGTATCCCTGTACTAAATGCAAAAAAAAAAAAAAAAAAAAAAGGAATTTAAAAGAATGCAGGAAACCTTCCAGAGACTGGAGGATCAGCCCATGGTATCCCTCCTTCCCTGTCTGCAGGATCCTGGATGGAAGTGAGACTGCTGAATGGTACAGGGAGGTGCTCAGGCCATTTAAAAGTCCTTGCCCAGGGAACATAGGGGATGGTGTGTGACGACCTCTGGGACCTGGCTGAGGCCACAGTCGTGTGCAGCCAGTTGCAGTGTGGCCAGGTAGTGGCAGCCCCAGCAGCCGCACACTTTGGGGAGGGATCTGGGAAGATCCTACTGGATGACGTACAATGTGCAGGTGGAGAGAGCCATTTGGGCCAATGTGTTCATGGGGACAAGGCCAGGCACAACTGTGGGCACCTGGAGGATGCTGGAGTCATCTGTGCAGGTGAGGGGCTGTCACTTCTCTGTGGCCCTTCAGGCAACTTTGGTTAATAAGCCCATAGATCTACTGAGTTGATGTCTTTCAACCCGCAGGGGCCAAAGACCCACCGACCCCTACACTCTGCAGGGTCTAACGCTGTGTCCTCTGGGTACATGCATAGGAGGGTCACCTGTGCTGCAGATGACACTTCCTCAATCTAGGGCAGACATGCTGAAAGAGAGCAGAGTGGCCCAACTCCTTGGCATAAGAAGGGCCATTGATAAAGAATAAAAAAGATAGGGATTTTCCGAAATGGATATTTATTCAAGCATCTGAAATTCATCATTATAGAATATGACTTTTACTATAAGCTTCAGTGCAGAGTACAGGAGTTGTCAAATGACATTTTAGAGAAACAGATGTTGCCCTGGTTATTTGCCTGATCAGCAGACACCAACAGGGTGAGTGCCCTCAAATAGAGCTTCCAAGAACCCAGAGGTAGGAGAGGTGCAGAGCTCCTGGGGAGGCACAGCATGGTCACAGATCTTCCACGTCTGGCTCCTGCAGTGAGACCCCATCCAGCAGCCAAACACAGGCAGAACGCCGAAAGTGAAGACCAAAAGTGAAACCATAAATCGATTCTGCACACTGAACAGTGTGACACATGCTTGCTATATGACATTTGAAGATCTGATCTGGTCAGATTGATCTCATAATGAGATGGCAGTGGGATTGTTGTTTGGATTGATAATTTATGAAACAAAATGAGAACTAAGAGCAGCTCAGAGGAGCTATGCACAGGCCTCCTGGATCAGGCAACACCTAGTCTAGGTGAAATCGCCCAACTCCTAGGGAAGGCCAGGGAAGTTCGGTCCTGTATGTGAATGCCATACCTGTATGACCCCACCCTGATGGCTGTTTCCTAGAAGGGAACAAAAAGAGATGGTAGCAGGGAAGCAGGCTGGTAGGATTTCTGAGATGTAAAATATACAGAACACAAAGAATAATCTCACACCCACTTGAGAGACTGAAAAACTCAAGAAGAGAGGAACATGAAGTCTTGTCTGCATACTGCAGTGGGGAAGCCTGACAGATCTGATAGCATGCTTAAATCCGGCAGTCAAAATGGACATTCATCTGTATCCCCTTTTTTTGTTTAGTTCCGTTATTTGAATATTATAGGTGTGTTAACTCAGCAAAATATTCTAAAAGAGTCCAGTAGTCCATAATAGTGTTGGGTCTTCCGCTTCCCTGGCAATGTCAGAAATTGTTGACCTGAGTCCCCTACAGCTCAACATAACAGCATGGCTTTACTTCTTATACTTCGTTTTTATACATTTCTGCTGGATGGTTAAGACCAAGATAAAGCAAGACCTATGCAACAAGAGTTGTAGCTTTTGGGAGTCTGATAAGGTCAGTGAAATCCCCTCAGGATTTATTTTGAGATCCTGTACCTCAGATTGTAGAACCTTTATCGGTGTCAGCCATGTGGATGAGTCACGGCCATTGCTTGGCCAATGTGCTCTCTATGAAAGCCTGAGAGAATGTTTTCTCTCCATGTGACTCTCCTTAGACACACTCTACATCATCAATCACTTTCCTTTTTGGCCCCATAATCTCCTTGATCAGAAAATTTGGGACACTACCGAGGTACATGACGTTACAGTACAAGTTCTCATATGTCCTGAGTCTTAATTGACCTTGGAAGGCTAGGGCCAAAATGTTGGCTTTCCTTGCGGCCCTCCTTTTTCTCTAATTTTGGTCTGCAAACTTAGGTTGTTAACCGTCCAGAAGAGCAGTTTATTGTTATTGCCATACAACCCAGGCTGTTAAGCTTAACCTCATTATCTGTCTGAATATCAAACATCTTAGGCATAACATGGAACAGGTATTTTTCATCAAGTATTGATATGTTGAACTTTAAGTCCCTACAGAATATGATGAAAAAACATTTAAAGATTAGAATATATTTTAAAAATAGGCATAAAGAATTATATAATTCTTATGTTTACATGTAAGTCCAAAAATCTAACCATATACAGGAAGCAGGACAGTCCCACAACATCTGGCAGTCATTGCAAATATCTTTCTCTAGGTGGGGTAAGGGAGTTCCTGGCTGCAAGTGATGTCCCCGTTTGTTCCTGTTTACAGGTGGTGGCCTCTCAGCTCCCACACCTGCAATTGGCACCCTCAGTTTTCATGCTGCCACACTCACCCTAGCAGGTAATGCTTCCCCGTAACCAGGTTGGAGCTGTGCAAACCGTTTCCTGAACACCTACTATGTGCTGTGCACAGAATCAAGTGCCTACATGAGTTTCTTACTTTGCAATAGCCTCAAAGGCAGAGATTGTTTTCAACATATCACAGTGAATCAACAGAGGCTCAGAGATGGCTGGTGGGAAGATGATACTGGTTAGGTGTCTAGAATCACACAGCCAGTGGGAAACAAAGGCTGGATTCACCCACACCTGTATTACCACAGGTCCTTGATTTTAGCAGATGCTTCTTGGTAACATAGATCAGAGAAGGAAATTAAAAAATTAATTGCTCACATCAAGACTATTTGGAGAAATTAGAATTGTTGAGATTTGCCTGGGCCTGAGTTCAATCCCAGGTTCCACCAAAAAAAAAAAAAAAAAAAAAAGAAAGAAATGTTGAGATTAAATTATTATTAGGCTACCTAAAACAGAAGAGTTATTGTAATAAAAGATATGAAGGATCAAATATTAACTATTTATTCATTTTGGGTTTTGGTTTTTCCTTTCACTGCTTCCTTTGGGCAAAATTTATCTCAACTGTATCCAGGTCTCATTAACATAGAAGATCCTCCTGTAAACTATTTTTTGAATTTTGACACAAATATTTTATAGTATATGCTTTACAATATTACTGCCAGCTAGATACTATGTTGTTTCCATTTTACAGTTGAAAACAGTGGGATTTGGTTGTAATAAAAGGTGGTATCAGGCCCAAGCTTTGGATTAGGGAAGTGCTATTTTCACACTGGAGCTTCATTGTCACTCCAGAAGGACATCCCTGAGTTCTGGTCCGTGCAGGCTAGGGCTGTCACCTCCTAGGATGTCACTGTTTTTCTGTGTTTTCAAACACATTCAGTTTGCTTTCTCAGAAGTCATTGGACAGTTTTGGGTTTTTTAAAATGTATTTAGCGCAGGGTCTGCAAGGTCTCACTGTGTACATTCGAGTCAGTTTTCAGCCTTCCAAGCACTGGGATTACAGGCACGTGCCACCACACCCAGTCTCATTTGCCATCTCAGTGTGCCCCAGGGGTGGGGCTGGCATGGCTTATGGTGCCAGGGATTGAACCCTGGCCCCTGCACTTTGCCTAAGCAGGCTCTTTAGTCCACTGAGCTATCTGGCTGGCCCCATTGGACCATTTATTATCAACATAATTACTAAAGATACTTTAAAATCGCCAGATGCTGATGGTTCTCCAGGCCTCATGCCCACCATTCCCACCACTGAGCCTGCAGCCACTGCCCGGATGCATCCACCCCCAGGTTGGTCAAATCTTTGGATCATATGGCTTGGGACAGTTATTTTCTCCAACCGTGTTAGCAGTTTCTCATCATATCTAGAGGCACATACTTAAGCAGGATCAGGAGGCCAATACAAAGGGAGATGAGAAGGTTGAGAAATAAGATACATCTTCTACTACTTGGGGTTCTTTAAAAGTTATTTTTCTTCTCTACTTGTGATTCTCTTTGGAAAATTCTTATAGTGGCAAACTGATCTATAGCCTCATATAATGGGAGAAATTAAACAAGAATCAGATACAGTTTGTGGGCCAATAAAGGTAAACCATGTCCTGCAGGCTGCACGCCAGGAGCAGCAGAGCAGCAGCGCTGACCCTGCATTCTTGTCATGAACCTGAGAGAGGCTGATGAGGCAAAGGAGGACAGGCAGGCAAGAGTGCAGGAAGAGAAGAGCAGCCTGGGAAACAGCAGCAGGGGGTCAGAGAGGGTCTGCCTTTTGTGTGCTCCTTCCAGGAAGACTATAATGTTCACTTCCTCAAATGCATGAGAACACGGCCAGGAAGGAGAGAGAACAATGGCATTGCAGCAGAGTCTCCCGGGCACTGACCTGCAGCACGTGTCCTGCAGCATGACCAATATGCAGGGAAGCTCCTGCTTCATGTATTAAGGCCAGTTGTGCGAGTCACCGTGTGGCCACCAACCTAAAAAGTGAGCTTGTCTTCCAACTGCCCCATAATCCACAGAACAGTTTGACCAATTGCTGCTGAACAGTCCAGCTCTACTTTGATCAAACTGAGCGCTTGTGCAAGAGCATTAAGAGAATCTGCTTAATATGATTTTTTTAAAAAGCAAGAATGAGAACGTTCTGATTCTGCACTCAGTGACTTTCCATTCAGTTTAACCACCAAACCTCCAAATGTTCAGCTAAGTGAATTTATCCACCCTGAACGCAGCGAGATGCATGCTGGCCTGCTACACACTACCCTTTTTCACTCTCACGCTGGCTGGTGGTGGAGGGTTCCAAAATCCACAGAGGAAAAGAAAAATGTGAAAACAGGCACCATTTGAAGGGTCAGACACTTTTTGTCAATGCTTCTCTCCTTCATAGGCCATGTCTCAATAAACGCCCCCCAGCCTCCTGCCCTGGCTCTTCCGATCCACAGCAAGAAGGAAAAGTACAGTGGAAGACCCAATGCTGTTATGAACTACTGGACTCTTTTAGAATACTTTGCTGAGTTAACACACCTATAATATTCAAATAACGGAACTAAACAAAAAAGGGGATACAGATGAACATCTATTTTGTATCTGTGTATTCAAAATGGTTAGGATAGATATATAGTTACATTCTCTTAATGAATAGAGGGATTTGTTCTAATGGTGTTTGTAAATAGAATATCAAGTCCGCATCTTGTACAGCAATTAACCACTAGGAAGAATGTATGCAATGTGTTAATTATTGAAACTGTTCTACCGATTTGATTTGAAACTGTCTCATTGCTATTTGTTTCTTAATAAAATTATGGGGAAAAAAAGAAGGAAAAGTAGTTATGGGGAGAAGTCAGCTGGTTTAGTTGTCACTTAGATGCCTACCTAACTTATAGTGGAGTTTGGAAGCCTCTGCCCATGGAGAGTGTCTTGTTTCTTCTGCCACAGGTGACAGTCTCGTGGCAGCGCCACCCACATCGCAGCCTTCTCGCCTTTCTTCCGCTCCCACGGTGGCAGGTGAGCCCTGACTGATGCCTGCTTGCACTTGGAGAGTGAGGAGAGGGTGCGTGAGACCTCTCTGCCGTGAGCTAGGACTATCCCAAGTAGCGCAGCTCCCAGCAGCAGTGTCCTGCAGCCACTGAAGAAGAGCTCGTACTCCAACAACTGCATTCACTGCTTTCCTTTAATTATAACCTTGTACCCACTGACAAGTTTCTCCTCTCTCCCCCTCTTTTTTCTTCTCCCCACTCGCTGGTACAGGCAATAGGGAGAAGGTTTTAGTGAGCACAAATTTCTACTTGACCCATTTATTCTCCTTTATTTATTTATTTTCCTGCCTTCTTTTGGATTAACAATTTTCTATGATTCCTTTTTATTTCTACTATTGACTTCCTCTTGCTTTTGTTATCAAACAGCTGAGCTACAGTTTCTAAAATTTATATTATTTA